CTTATTTCCAATAAACAAGCAAAAAGCCAGAAGTAGGAGTATGGCACAAGTGGTAGAGTGCCAGCCCTGAGGGAAAAGGCTAAGCAGGAATGCAAGGCCCTAAGTTTAGGCTCCAGTACAGGTACAAGCAGGTACGTGCCCCCCCCCCCCAATACGTACAAGTGTAAGAGACTGTTATCTCTGCTCCATCCCATGCAGTAGCTGAGGACCTCTTCACTCCTCAATGGCTGCCATGTGAAGCCAAGTCCCAGTTCTTCACAGGAGCCTGATGTCTGTTGCTGGCTCCGTCTAAGCCCTCTGTCTCATACATTGTACTCCAGTCTTGCTGACCTTCAATCCAAACTCATTCCTGCCTCAAGGCCTTTGCACTAGCTGTAGTTTCTGCCTAGAATGTTCCTTGTCCCTCTAAGATCATGAAATTGGCTTTCATGTTAACTGACCAAAACTTCAGTGCCTCCTCATTGGATAGGTAAACCTCTGACCACACCATCTAAGAAGTCCCCAGTCTCTGTCACTTTGTCCTATTTTATTTTCACCATAATCAATATGTACCCCTCTCCCCCCCACCCCCGCCCCAGTTCTTGCTTATTTGCTTGTCTGCATCCCCATAGAGCAAGGATTTGTCTCGTCCTGCAGCCTGAGGTCTCAGAACTCCCATTCATTGAATGCGTGAATGAATCAGCCAAGCATGGCCCCAAGAGTTCAGTGCACACTTCTCATGGACCTCTTTGCTGTCTTGTTTAGCTCACGACCTGTGGTTCACCTGGAGCTGTCCATGAACTTCACCCCCAGTGCACTGCCCATTGGCTTTGGTGGCAGAGTGAATGTAGATTTGTGTTTTAAAATCATTTCAGCAACTGAGGCCACTGAGTCAGGTAAGGGCATCCTTGCAGTCTGGCATGCTGTGCCCATTGTATGGTGGCTTGTGGCAGCCAGGGAAAGAGGGCAGGGGTGAAGGTTGGTGTAGGCCCTGTGCCTGAGCTTCCTCTACTAGCCCTGAGCTCTTCTGTCAGTCTGAGATATCTGCCCAGCCTGAAAAGGGTGGTCCCATGTCACACCCACATTGCTGGGAAGGAGTCCTTATTGGCTTGAAGGGACGAGTTTCTTGTTGGTAAACGCTAACCGATTGCGCAACTGGAGCTCCTTGAAGAGAGGAGTTTCTAAGTCACAGAAAACCAGCTACTGCTTGGTCTCCATCTGCCTCTGCCTATGTGTATGCCTGAGAGGCTCTTAGGGGTACCCTTCCTCTATTCTCTGTTATATTTTCTCTGCTTCCCACATCAAGGCTTCCCAGCCAAGGTGAGATTGAATGGTCTGCTGGAGGCCAGGCCTCTCATCCATCCTGAGTTGGGAGACTTTCCAGGAGTGGCTAGGCATGGTTCTCAGGGCTGAAGTATCCACTGCCAATTCAAGTGCTCCCCTCTAGGCAGCATCTGGATAACAGTGGCCAGGGCATCATCTTTAGGAGTAATCCCAGAGATAGCTGACTGCAAGTCACAGAGCAGTCTCCTGGGGTGAGGGCCATTGTGAACTTGATACTAGAAAGTGACCTATTACTACACAGAGCCTGCTGTGTGACACTGGGCAGGTGTTTTTCCCTCTCTGTGCTCTGGCTTCTGTTTTATACAGGAACAGGCAGATGGCCCCGGCATCTCCAAGGCCTTTCTGTGCTCAGATTTTACTCTCTCTCCCTTCTTCTTCCTCCTTCTCCTTACTTGTTCACTGCCTCCCAACTTCCTACCCTGTGCCTCTTTCCCTAAGGAGGACAGCCTCAGACTTGGGAATGGGCTGCACTGGTGAAGTCCAGAGCCCTAGGGATTGCCCACTGCCAGTACCAGAGGTGGTGAGAAATCCCCTTCCAAGTGAAGAACCTGGTGCTGGCCCCAGAAAAGGCCCAGCATGGTGCCCAAGCCCAGCAGGGGCTTGTGGAGTCTCAAGCAGGGTGGGGGTCTCCTCCTGGACCTTGCCAGGCCTTGCCAGGCCAGTCCCCTCAGGAAGCTGTGGTCCTCAGCCCCAGGCCTCAGAGAAGCTTTGCTCAACTTCACCATGGATGTGGATGCAGTGAAGCAGAGGAAGAGGCTGCAGTGTTCCCACATGACTGACTGTCAGGACCGCCTTAGGAACTGGACCAGCAGCCCCCTGCTGTGTGAGCATATCTGGCTCATCCCCACAAACGGAGAGGTAAGGGGAAGAAGTTAGACCAGAGTCCAGAGTGACCTGTGATGTTAACAAAAGATCCATGCACCTGAGCACTGGTGGCTCATTCCCATAATCCTCACTACTCAGGAGGCTGAGATTTGAGGATCACAGTTCAAAGCCAGACCAGTCAGAAAGTCTGTGAGACTCTTGACTCCAAATAACTACCCAAAAAGCTGGAAGTGGAGCTGTGGCTCAAGTGGTAGAGCACTAGCTCTGAGCAAAAAAGCTCAGGGATAGTGCCCAGGTCCCAGAACTTGCAAAAAAATAAAAATAAATAAAGATCCATGCGATGCAGCACCCACATACAAATAAAGTGATTAAAGTAATCCTAGCACACCATGCCACAGAATGGCATGAACATAGTAGATAATCATACCAGAAATTCAAATTAAAGCAACCTGGGCTATGAATTTAGCTCCATGGTAGAGCATGTGCTTGGCATGTTTAAGGCCCTGGCTTCTGTCCATAGCAATGAAAGCAAAACAAAACAAATAACAAGCAAGAAAACAAAAGCAGAAGAAAAAGCCTACTAAAATTGAACACTACATCTCTGAACTTCTTGGAACTTGGACCTGGACAAAAAAGGAAATGTTCTTATAACTGAAAATTTTTCTGGTAATAAATTGGAAATGTTATACCAGGGGTTGGTGGCTCACACCTGTAATCCTAGCTACTTAGAAGGCTGTGATCTGAGGATCAAGGTTCAAAGTCAGGCCTGGCAGCAAAGTCTCTCCAATTAATCAGCATTTAACCCCCCCCCCTTCCCCACCAAGAAAAATCTGGAAGTGAAACTGTGGCTCAAGTGGTAGAGTGCTAGCCTTGAGTGAAAAAGCTAATAGACCCAGGCCCTGAGTTCAAGCCCCAATACCAACACACATAAACACACACATACAGACAAATGTTCAGTATGTTATCTAACCTCACTTGATAAGGACAGTCGGATAAATAGCTTTATACAAATTGGTATCACAAAAATTGAACAATAAACAGGAAATATAGAAGTTATAATTTAGAAAATTTCTTCTCCACTCCACAAGGTGTTCAGAGACATGAGAAAAAATTGTATTTGTCAGTAAGTAGAGCCTAAAAGGACCTAGAACTCTGAACCTAAATGGATCATTTAGTCCAAAAAGAAAATCCTGCATTCTGCTTCTGAGTGTATCTTCTCCCAAAGTGTTGGTTTAAAGATATTTATTCATTAAATAAATGCATGAGTACACTTCCACTGGAAATGTAACTCATTTGTTCTGTGTATTCAAAGCCCTTTTCTTGGTGGGAAGGCTCATTTAAACAAAGTATGGCAAATGGCAAATGGCGTCTCTGCTGACCCCTTATTTTCAGGGCTATGGGTTTGCATGTGTATGTATGTACCAGTACTAGGATTTGAACTCAGGGCCTCCTACTGTTGTTCAGCTTTTTTTTTTTTTTTTTACTCAAGGCTGGTACTCTTACCACTTAAGCCACTGTACCTTTTTCTGGTTAATTGGAGATAAGAGTCTCAGAGACTTTCCTGCCCTGGCTGGCTTTGAACCTTTATCCTCAGATCTCAGCATCCTGCGTAGCTAGGATTATTGGTGTAAGCCACTGATGCTCAGATTCTGACCTTCTGGGTAGCTAGGATTACAGATGTGAGCCATTGGCACTGTGCTTATTTTCAATTTTAACATGTTCAGTATGTTCTTCTACATGGCTTTTGAGAAACATCTTTGAAAACTCAGATGTGACTGACTCTTCCCTCCCATAACTCCTACTTGTCCTCCAAATAAAGTCCAGGTCAGTTCTGGGCATCAGAGGGCCACAATCCCTTAGTGATGGTTGATAGAACCAGAAGTCATGAGACCTAAGGTCAGGGAAGTTTTTCCAATGCTCTTGG